TTTTCTTTAGATTAGATAATATATGTTTTAAATCTGTCAAATCCATTTAAAAATTTATCTAAATTTAAATATTTTTATTAATACATATAATAATATTATTGTTATTATGATTATTGCTATTAATATTATAGCAGTTATTTCTATGTTTTTTATTATTAAAATATCGCTTCTAGAATACATTATTTTTATATAAGTTTTTATTTATTTAAAAAAAAATTTTTCTTTTTTTTTTTTTTTACAATATCTATATAACACTATACATTAATATTTCTTAGTGCTTGCTTTTTTATATAATTTTTAAAATGAGAATGTATTTTATTCAGTAATAATATAATTAGTATAATAAATGTTAAATATATTATAGTGCTAGTGCTATCAGTGTTGATTGTTGTTGCTGCTGCATTATTATTGTTTATGACCTCCTCTTTGGTCTGTGTGCCACCCATTCTGAATTAACTCTTGCAGTTGTTGTTGCAAAATAGCTCTATTTTTGCCTTCTGCTAATTTTATTAATTTTTTTAGCTCTCCTTTTTCTCTTATAAACCTTCTCTTTTGGCCACCTCTTTTCTTTTGTGGTCTATTATGCTCTTCTACTGTTATTTCCTTGGTTCTTCCACCAGGATTTCTTCTACGATATTCTTCTAATGTTATGGGTTTTGGACCCGCTTCTGGATTGTTTAAAATTGCTTGTTGTAAAGTTTTCACAATTTTTGCAAATGTGTCATCAATTTCTTGTTGTGACATTTCCAGTTTTATTTATTTTTTTAAGAAAAATTTTTAAAATTAAATCATTTGCAAAATCAATAATGTACTGGTGTGTACTCAAATGTTTATTTAGTTTTTTTTTTGTGTGGAAACTTTTACCACAAACAAAACAATTATAACTTTCCATTCGTAGAATTAGAAGATGATTAGTTGATTAGATCCGTAGTGGGCAGGCTTCTTGTTATTTAATTGCTTTAGAGGATTTGAACTGCTTTAGAGGATTTGAACTGCTTTAGAGGATTTGAACTGCTTTTAGAAGTTTTGAACTGCTTTTAGAAGTTTCGGTCCGTCAGGGGCAGGATCGCCATGTTATGATGTTATGATGTTAGGTTCGCCATGTAATGATTATTGATCGCAATGTAATGATATGTGATGATTTAACAGGATCACCATATGTAAAGATGTTGTATTATTGCTATGTAATGCTATTCTACCATTGCCATATAATGGTTATTGCAGGATGTCAGAATCATCAATATATATATTAGCAGGTTTGCTGGATTAGGTCTTCTTGATTAATAATATTTAAATCCTGAAATAATTAAAGGATCTCCTATCGACCAATAAGAGTGGAAACGACCTATCAGATTATTGTTGAGTATTACTAAGCTCTTCAGCCGCTTAATGTTCTTTCAGCATCTAAATGCCGCATAGAACACGATTCAAATCAAAGACGTAGCCTTGTCTTAAGTTAAATTGAATCTATTTTATTATCAAAAATTATGGGTATTTATACTTATTCTAGCTTATTTACTAAACAATTATTATTTACTTTTCGATTGATTTGAGTAACCAATCAATGCATTGGTTACTCCCATAAATTACATTAATTGTTTTATTACATTAATTTTATAAACAAATACTCTTCTAACGCATTACAATAATACGTCATATATTGTTTT